ACTACTTCGGTTAAATAGAGAAGCTAAATTGCGGTTAAAAAAAAAAAAAAACATTAGACTATTACTGGTAACTATTATAACTATTAAACTCCAGTAATAGTCTGTTTTTTTTTTTTTTAACCGCAATTTAGCTTCTCTATTTAACCGAAGTAGTCTATATAATTACAATGAAATGAGTATAAAGTAGTAAACTAAACTATTATAACTATTAAACTGCAGTTTGGATGTAATTTGTATGTTTCAAAGTTGGCAAACCTGGATTTCGGTTTTTAGCGTCATTTGGTCATTGTGACCAGCGATTTCCCGCTATTTAGCTATGAATTGTGACTTTTATTATTCGTAATTATGTGTTCACGAGTAGCAGAAGCATAACAAAGAGATTTTGTTTTTGACCAATTTTCTGTGTTCTTCAAGAAACTATTTGATTTTGCAATATAACCAGACGAAAATATTTTTATTTAGGTAAGTTTAGACATTTAATATAGTATATACGACCATAGCTGAAATGTATCGAAATAATATTTCATACCTACATATTAGGTACCTATAATATATTATATATTTTAGATATTTTATATGAAAGAGATATTGTCAGGCCGCTCTGACCTCCTTATATGGTCATTCTACAGACAAATTAGCCGCCCTCTTTCCCAATTTCATATCTAAACAGCTTCTACAGTTGTCTTAAATTTCAACAATTTTATTGAAATTATTTTTAGTTTTTTAAAACATGTTCATTCATATTAGAGATGTGGCGAACTGTTGGATTTTCAAACCCAACCAAACTCGGTGGGAGGTGGTGTGTTTCCCTTTTTTTCGCATAATATTATAATATTAAAGTTTTAAAATTTTAAAATTATTTGACCTAACTTAACTTTTTTAATGTTCGAATTTGATAAAATATTTTAAAAGTACATTTCGGTTCAGTTCGAATAAAAATTTATAGGTTCAGTTCGAACTTAACAATCGGGGTTCGTAACATCTCTAGTTTACAATATTAACACATATCATCACACAATCATCATCTACATAGTTTATACGTGTTAACAGTGCTCAATTTAATAAATAATCAGTGACACACAGGGGCTTTGCTCCCACATCCCTAATATTGATTATCAATAATTACTTATTTATATTGCTTAAAAGTCATAGTTCTGTAGATGTACCTTTCCTGTATCTTGATCAAAAATGAAACTAACTGTGAAGAAAAAGTATATTACTTACTAATCATTCTTTGATGATAATGATCTATTTTAAACATTATTAATAAATTAAAACTATTATATACAACAGCATATAACATTTGATAAATTGCATATTGGAATTGCATTACATTTAATAACTGGGTGGGCTACAGACAACTGAGAGGGGTAAACCTACTCTGGCCAACCTCTATTGGAGCTTATGTTTGTTACCTTATGATATTAAAAATTAAAATACAAGTTTGGGATCCTGAATATACATTCATAACAAAAAAGCGAAAACAATTAGTTTAAAATATATGTAAAAACTTTAAATAAATTACAGGATTTACTTTTACAGTGTAATCACAACAAGGTCATCTTGCTAAAATATTTGATGATATTAATTAAAAATATTCATTATATATATATATAATAATATAATATATACAATTTTAAATTTAGTGCATAACCAAATAGAATAAAAACAAGAAGTTTTATAGTTGAAAACAGAACATTATGAACTACAGCGATGGCAGTAAAAAAATTCAAGTTCAACCGGTGTCAAACCAATGGGGTAATTCATTTTTAATTAACTATATATGAAGATATAAATTTTAATAATTTCTTTAATTATTTTTTATTGATTTATTAAGTTAACCGAGGTTTTAAGTACGTTAAAGCCATACAAGAAAAGGAAGAAATGCATGAAAATGAAATAGTGGACAAAAGATTGAATTCGGAACCCAAGTAATAACAAAATCACAAATTCACACTATTAGTTATAATTAGCAATTATTATTATTTTATATAATTGATACTACCATTTTCATGATTTACATTTAACCACAAGTCTAACAAAAAAAAAAAAAATTAGAACAAAAAATGTTTGATAAAACTGTTTATCAGATTTTATAATTCGCACTGTTGAATATAAAGATTTTATAATTCGCACTGTTGAATATAAAATGACAATCTACTATTAATTTTACAAAATCCATACTATCTCTCACAGAAACAAAAAATTATGCATGTATTAGAATCCATATCAAATGGATTTTAATAGCATTATTATATTTCCATATGAATAACATAATACATTGGTAATTCATTACAAAATAATGACTTATACTCGTTATAAGGTTACTATAAATACAATTCTGCTTATTGTAGCTAGTTTGTTAGATGATTACAATATTTTCTTACTACATGATTTCAATTTTATTAATTGATTCTTTTGATTTGTAGTTCCAACTGGATGAAGTTAAATTGTTATTCAACCCCAGGCTTAAGTTTAAATAATTTGTCTCCAGAAGCAGGTAATTTACTCTCAGTTAAAAATGTCAATATGTTTTTATAATCGAAAAATTAATGTTTTAGTTATTTTTACTTTACTTGGTCCATTATATCAACATTCAACAGAAGAAACTGAAAATGCAGAGCCAGAAAATCAAATGGTTAATGATTTGAATGTTTTATCTCCTAAATTAGGTAATCAATTTTTTTTTTTCTTTTCTTGAAATGTATTGAAAATTTCTACAATACTAATAACAGTGGTTTGATTTTTCTCTTGGTGGTCTAAACAAGTTTATTCTACATCTGTTGATTAATATTTGACATTCACTATGTATGCACACCAGTATATTTTATTTACTCTATTCTAGCCAATTATATTTTTCTTCATATCTATTTGTACACTTCATGGATTTTATCTATCATCAGAAGGAATTTCATCTGCATAAATTTAGAAGCTTTAATTAGGAGTTATTTAGTTTTGTAAAGAGTAGCTATCTCTTCTACTTATTTATAATAGATTCTAGAAAATATAATACTTTTTTTTTTTTTAAAAAGCCTTAACATTTTTCTTTAAAATTCTTTTTAACTTTCATTGGCATAAACATTATTTTATGAATGGTGGTTGTATAAGAATCTAGAATGAAAACAGTAAAATATATTTTTACATTTCATATTTTTTTATTTTAATTTTATTTCGTCTTTTTTAACCCAGTTCACATGATCAAATATTTGGCCAAATTATCTATAACTCTTTAGTGATTGTTTAAATATAACCCGTGTAAATTTGCACAATAATTACTATAGGTAGTAGCATTGATTATTGATTTCTAATCAAGATGCAGTTAATATTTCATTAACATCATGATACTAAGTCATTAGGATATTCTTGTATTAGAGTTACACCATGAATTATAACTGTGAAAAATTAATTAAACTATATAAATTATGGAAACTAAGGAAATTGTTTAAAAATAAACTTTCAAGGTTAAAAACTAAGTAAATAAGTAGGTAATTATATAAGTATCTTAGTGCCTACTTTAACTTTCTATGTCGTATACATTAGTATTTGATTCAGAAAGTAGGGAGCGATCTATTGGTTTTACTATGATGTGTGTGTCGTGTGTGTATTATAATTAAAGATATAATAAAATAATTTATTTTACCAAGAACCCAAAATCATAAATGTAAATAATTCGTCACCACAAGTTTTTAGTGGTAGGTACCTACCAATCTGTTCGGTGTTCAGTCTAGCAATACACACTTTTACTCTCTTCAATGTCATTGAAAACTAATTTGATTTTATTTAAAGTTTTCTATAGATAATAAAATGTAATAAATAATAATTGTAATTGGAGTACAAAATACGACAATGCCTTTGTACAAAATGTATAAATTATATTTTATAATTATTATATTACTCGTCTGTTAAACGGAAAATAAAATTATTTAAAGAAAAATTATAACCAATATAGATTTAATAGAAAATGCTTTAAAAGAAATCAACGAGGAGTGCGTTAGAGCCGATGTTGATATAGAAGATTTCATTGCGTTTGACAATAAATTAGAAACGCATCAAACTTACGATTCCGTGTCTTTTTTAGAAGAGGAAAAAGAAAAAGAAAATAATGATGATGATAATGACAGTAAGACCAACGATAAGCCAAAAATAAAAGATTTTAAAACCGCAATCTCATATTTAGAAGAATTACAAAAATTTTCAATCATGATTTCAAATTCAAATCTATTAGAACTGACAACCAAAGCCCGAGAATGTGCTAAACACGCTGCTTGCTCTTAATCACAAAAAGCAATCTAATATTAAAAATTATTTTTCTAAATTATAAAAAAAGTACAAATTTGTTACTGATAATGAATTTCTAATTAGAAACACTTATTATAATATTAATTTATTTATTTTGTATTTATATATTAATTTACTATATTTAATTTGTTATCAATCTAATAATCTAATATTTGACAAAACTGTCAAATATTTTAGAGATTGTGTGATCCTAGCTTTACTAACAAAATTTTGGTAATACAAAGAATATAAATATCTCATTTAATGATATATTAAAGCGTTATAATGTGGCTACTACTTGTTTGAAGAGTTAAGAAACTTGTAATTCAATTCACAATTGTAAATATTCTTCGGTTGAACAAAAAAAAAAAATTGTTACCTATAACTAATTTCAAATGAGAAGTATTTTAGATTTATAGTTCAGCTGAATAAACTTTTTTACCAAGGGGCGGTTTTCAACTGTCATTAATACTGTCAACTATCCAAAAATTAGTTAAGCTAGTTTAATTTTGTGACTAAAGTTACGATTTTGGCTGTTCTCTTACTTTAATAATATACTACTAAGGTTTGTTTTGAGTAGCTGGTGCTCTCAACTACTTGAATATTAGTTGTCATTACATCACTTGGACTTTCTCATAGATCATACATATTTTTTAATAATTCTAGTAAATAATGTATCATTACCATTATCATCACCATTACCTATCTATCACATACCCATAATCTTGTATTTTGTTTTTCAATTGTTTGTTACACTTTTTCTGCAAGTAGGTAGGTATTTTGACACTTTCTATCAACATAGAATATGAATATTGAAATTTAAAATCGTCTTCCATTAACTCATTGGTAGGTACTATATGTGTGTACCCATAATCTCATTTTATTTAACAGTTTACCTTAGGGATAGTATAAAAAATCAGTTAAGTCCTACTAACCATCAGTTACAAGCCAATGAAAACCCAGTCCTATGACGTGTTAAATTTTATAGTAGGTATGGTTTATAATTCATAATTCACTTCGTTATTTGGATAACCGGTTTGGCAAAACAATTTTACATTTAACGGTATGACTTATTAGTATACAATGCTATCTGAATTAATGAGATAATATAAGTAACTAGATTAAACTTGAACTTCATAATATGCAGGAGTCATATTATACTGATTTGGGGACCCATAGGGAAATGTTTATATTTAGTGGCAATTCAAAAATTCAATTAATTATGTTATTTAGGCTACTAATATTTTATTAAATGATACATCTACAATCCCTGACTAAGCAAATTTGTAACATACACTTGGGATAAGACCACAACATTCTGTAAAAATATGGGCACAACAGAAACTAACAACATAAAAATGTGCATGTATTATACTCTATTCTCATTATCAATACCTATTTCAATGACATTAATTTTTGTAAAATTACTAGTTTCAGTAGATGTTTCAAGTTCAATAATACAAAAAATGGTCAATGAAGGACTAAAAGAAAATGAAAAATCCTCCGATGACGTTAGTAATGAAACAGATATTTCGATACTAGTTGAGGCTAATTCTAGTGATCCTAATAAATCACGAAAATGGTGGCAAAAGGTTACAAGGATTACTAAAATTACTACAATAACCAAGGTAAAAGAAATACAAACACCTGAATAAATTAAACAGTTGGTTTTATTTGTATATTTATTTTAACTTGTATTATTTGTTTTTATTCTCAAACAATTATTGAAAATGTAAAGTTCCATCAAAAATTATTCTGTTTACAGCTAATATAAAAATATTTTAAATTCTGTAGTCAGTCACAATTTTTTTAATTTAATAAATTGATTATTTGATTGCATAATGGACATTTGAATTTTATTTTTTGGTGGAGATCTGATACCTTTTTAAAGGACTAGAATAGCTGGACCCGCCATAATTTTATGCAATAGAAGTCCCAAATATAAGGACAACTACTACTATGCAACCTGTACAAAGTCGTGCGCTTTAAAAGAACCTCACAGCTGATAGTGATTAGTTCACAAAAATTTGATGTATAGCAATTGCTATTGAGTAAATTTTGTAATCAAATCTAAAAATAAAAATAATAAAATAAATTATTTAAAAGTCAACCAAGTATTACAAATTCAAGACATAAATTATTTTAATTTATTATTGATGTTCATATTGTTATAATTTGTTATGTGGTGAAAAAGAAATTTAAAGTCTTTTATAAGTTTAACCTAATACAACCATAGACTGGCATATTTTTAAACAATTAATTGTTATAATAAAAAGTTGCTATTTATCTTTAAATTATTATTAAATTCTTTAATTTAATAAAGCTTAGTTGTTAAACTATCATCTTTTATACCAATCCTAACTCATCATAATATTATAATTATTACCTACTACTATTGATGTTAAATAAGTGTATTTATTGTTAATTTAATTTAAGCCACTTGGTTTTGTATGGAAGTCGCTGTTTAGTCACTTAATTGTAAATTTAGTCACCTTTCTCACTTATTTTCAAGCCATTGACCACTTCCATCCCGGAGTAGACATAGAAAATTAAAAATAGTTTTAAAATAAAAGCTTAACAGATTTCATGATGATTAAAAAATAAAAATCAAATTAACTTAAAATCCTCAGAGAAATTGTTGATATATGATAAAAAAAAAATCACCCTGCAGAAGAGAATATAACGTATACCTATAAGCAACAAATAGTCATTAAGAAAAACAAAGTATTCTGAGCAGAGTTCGATTATAGATATTTTAAAGTCATAACTCATAACATTTACACTTTGTAAATCATACGTTTCATAAATTTTCCTGTTTTGTAATATTTACAAATTTTCGTTAACATTTGATACTAAAATTCTCACTAAAAATATAATACTGCATTAAACCAAACGTTTTATTATTAACCACTAAATACATCTTATAATGAAACTTCTGTTATATTTTCAAGCATTTCTGAATGCTTCATTAAAATTAATTCATTAAAGTACCACCCAGATAAAATTTCCTTTTTAAAAAAATGTACTGCACTTGAAATTTGAGGCAAGATTTCTGATAAAACAAAAAAAAAAACATCATTGTAAGCAGAAAACATTCCTCGGTCCTTCTCAGTATTTTTCCTTGCCTTTATGTTGAGCACAAATGTTGTTTTAATTTTGTAGGTCTCTTAGAATAGTTTGTTAAAACTTTAATGCAAATGACACATTGCGATTTCTCTACTCCATTCAAATTGATGGAGGTAAGTCCATACCTACTCAACATAGCTTTCATTGTGTTTGGTAGCCAGTCCCGAAGTTTTAATATCACGGGCTAATGGCCGGCCGTAATATGGCTGGTGTATTAGGTGACCAAAAAGAAGAAAGGAAGGCGGAATTTATGTGATAATTAATATGTGCGCATTGAGGTGAGAAGAAAACTTAAATGACTACAGCAGTGGAGAAAGGGTGGGGAGGTGCTTATTACTCTAAAAAAATACAGGGAATTTACTTGTAACGAGGGGGTACAAATTAAATAAGCTGACCGTGAACCCGGTTGACGGTGGTAGTGCCCTCGGTCCGGCAACGTGTCGGCGGATTTGATGGTCTCGGCGTGGATGACGCGGGCGGCGACAATAACGCCAAACGCGCAAGGGGGCGGCCATTGTACACGGCGCCGGCGGAACGGTCGACGGCTGCGAAAGAGACGCATAACGTACGCGTGGTAGTTGAGTACCGAGTGCCGACGCGACGGAACCCGGCACGAGTAGCGAAAACCGCGAGCGCGCGATGGACAATAAAACGCACGATGGGCGGCCATGGGGCACGCGTGCGACGACTACGAGTGTACGTAAAAGCAAAAAGGGACGATTTTCAGTCCGCGGCGACGCGGTTATTGTCCGATGCGTTGGCGAACGGTCGCTCGGCTCGCAACGCGAATCGCCCTGTTGCGGAACTGTTCAGTCGCAGCGGCTAAAAGTACAAACGCGTTACGGCACACGGAGAACAACGAACGGATTGGCAACACGGCGTGACGGCGCGCGGACCAGTTTCGTCACTGGCGAATTTTCGTGCGCCTCACCAACACACGCCGGTGCCGGGCGCGCACGGCGCAAAAACGCGGCGACGTGCGACACGCACGCGGATGTGTGTACGGCGGCAACACGTCAGTATTAAACGTGCGACCCAACTGCCATACGAATGTAAAAGACATTACTTTTGATGATTTATCAAATAATTTAATTATAGGACACTATAAAAAGGGCACCACATTCAAACTTTATCCGCGTAATACTTGTGAATATGATAATATATCAGTCATTACATTTGTATTGTTATTGGGCGCGTGGTATAGGTCCAAAACAACAAAACCATAGATTTTTTTCAAATTCACTTATTGTTATAATTTTATAAATTAATTTCACCATAACGATAATTCCTCCCCCCTCCCCTCCGGCGCAGTAGAAACTTAAATTTCTCAAATCCCGGGAAAAAAGATCACGGAACGACAATTTTAAAATTTTGAAAATAATAATTGCGTTACAGAGAAAAAAAAAACAAATTATAACACTCTATCACATTAATGATTTTTGACAGACTAAGTTTGGTTCACTCATATAACAGCATGAAGTGTGCGTAGGTCTTCATAAATAATTTCAACGAATGAAAGGAATGACAGATATATTGCAACCACCCATTATTTCGAAAAGTTAACTTTTTTAAAATACTTTTATTTTCATAATTTTTCATAAGATATATATTTCTATATTTCAATATTTTTAAAAATGATATTAAATAATAATTTTTTTAATTTTCATAAGTAATTAATATATTTACAATTTTAAAATTGTGTTTTTTTCCTTAATCTTTTTTACGGATTACCAAATTTCTCTCTAGGAAGGGAATTCTTCTCCCCTAGTAATAAAACACGGTACTTAAAGTGATAAAATAATTCAAAACTGTATTTTATACAAATAAACCTAAATAGACGAATGTAAGTAATAAAATGTTTTTGAAAATAAAAGGTGACATCACAACAAAAAGTCAAAATCAAAAAATTACCGCCCTAATGTACCATCCAGACAAAGTTTCCTTTCAAAAAAGGTTTACACTTAAAAATCGGCGCAAGATTTCTGGTAGACAAATTGTTACCTTTGAAAGATGCCAAATATGGAGGCAAGTCCAGTAGGCACTAGAAAGCAAAAAAAAAAAAAAAAACACGTAATTAAATTTTTACAAAGTATACACTAAAAACAGGATCGGACTGGGCCGGCGAGTAAAAGTCGGAAGGCCGCGGGAACTGTTGATTCAATGGCCTGTTGGTTTTAACGTGTAAAATTTCAACTTTTATCAAACCGGGTTCTTTAATACCACTTATATTTTAATTTACGTAGGGCCAGCAGGTATTCATGCTATCATAATTTGGACCGCGCTTTGATAATTTGATATGGCATTTGCATTTTCTTGTGATTTTATAAAATATATTGTCTGGTTAAAACTACTAGAGGGCACCACGATCACAGCGATTAATAGACGTTTGTTTATAACCTCAGCGGTATATTGACCGATATTGTATACTGAGAAAAATGAAATCCAACACAATATGGGTTTACTAAGTAATTCATTGTATTTTTTCTTTGATAGGTAGTCCGTGGATACAATTTTTCAGATTAAACAGAAATGCTATAAAATTTCGTATTTAGCGGTCCCAGAAAAAAAAAGTAATTTACTGTTGTAATTTTTTTTTTTTTTTAAACAAATTTTGTTATCAAATTTTGACTGTCCACAACAGAGAAAATGAATACAATAATTGTTCATTGAGTGAAATGTATTTGTTTTATTCATTTAATGGGTATCTACTAGGTAGGTACCTTATATTAATATCAGATACCAGACAAAAAAAATCCATTTTTAATTTGTGAATAGCTAACAATAGTGTAACAGTGCATTTTCATTATGATAATGTTAGGTTATGGTTACAGGATCAACTACTCGGAGTAACTCGCTTTAAGTAAAAGATGAATTTTTCATTTGTTGCCTATAATGTTAAAGAGAAAGTGTTAAATGTACATTCTAGTTTTTTGCATATGTTTTTTTGTTTCTAAAATGTATGTTTATATAATTTTTTTTTTTAGATTGAAATGGTTATTACTTAATGTTTATAAAATGTAATGATGTTTTTTTGAAAAGTATCATAGATTATTTTTATTTATTCTGTAAATAATTTATATAATCGTTTCAATCACATAGTTATAAGTAAAATATATAATAGAGTTGTGTAGATAGTTAATAATATACTCTAAGGACTAAGATATTAAAATACAACTATTACATTATTTACAAATTTAATATTAATTACTATTATACTAAAATAAACGTCATTGTAAAACCAATTCATTCCTAGCTTCACTTAGAATCTAAAATAAAAACAAATATTGAGACAAGAACATTAAATATAAATGTTTAAGTAAATTATAATTATCAATCAATCTTCTTCCTCAGAACTAAGTATAGGGTCCTCTACTTGATTTTCTACTTGAATAAACTGAAGTTAGGTATATATTTTAACAGACAGTAAATCTTTTTTTTTTTTTTTACTGAAATGTTTAAATATTTTCTTTACAAATAGCAATTGTTTGGTTTTCAATTGTTATTGTATTCACTCTCACTATGAACCTAACCCTTGCATTAAAGTATGTAGGTTTCCATCTGACAAACCAAAGGTGTTGTCGCCGCATGATATTCCTTAAATGTTGTGGAAAATTCAAGTATTTGAAATTATCGGCTTTAATTACATTTAAAAATAACAAAAATCAGAATTTGAATGCATGCAAAATTTAACCAAAAAAAAAAAAATGGGACGAACCCCCCCCTTAGTGAATCACCTTGTGTACTTTGTGTAATCACCATCGTGGTAATTCCATTCAACACCGCAACATTCCCCGAATGTAAATATGAAAGGTAACTATGGTAGTACATTGGGTCGCTTAACTACTACTCTGAAATAGTTTTACCAAAATTAAACATTGGCGCTTTGTTGCGTTCACACCGATACCTATAATCTGTTGTATATTTTATACAATTTATTATTGTGAATTATAAAATCGAGAAAATAATTTTTATCGTCACTTAAATTTTTTCCTTGGCTGTTTTACTTACCTAGGTAGGTACTTGGGTACTTTTTACAACAAACTTTCCATTATTGAACAAAATGCTTTTATTTTAACTTACTTCGGCAACAATTAAAACTAATTAACCACAGTCTATATTAGATCACCTACGATTAGAAATCCGACCACTAATATAGAAGTTATTATTGTTATAAGCAACTGAGAATTTTTAACATTGAAATCCTTTCAATATGTAAGCACTTTTAATGAAAACGAGGCAATTGAAAATATTACGGTACCTAGGTAAGTCACTGGGAGAACTTTGTTTAAATCTTTTTTCCGCAATTATATTTCAGCAATTAGTATGCTTCTCGCAAAATATTATAAGACATATTTTATCATAACGCACTCTTTTTTTGTTTTTTTTGGTAGGGGTAAACTTTAAGCTTATTTACTTAGTGTCATAAATCTTATAAAACAAACAACAATATCACGATAATTATTAAGAATAGGCAAACAGATAAATTTCAAAAACCTATTGGACAACAAACATTGGTGGACTACCAATATTAACGGCACGAACTATGATACATCTTAATTAAGGTAGGTAATTAATAAATTAATAATTATTATTTTGAAGATATATTTTAATGCGTGGATGGGACCAATAGGAATGGTATAATTATGAACACCAACGGTAGGTACCATAACGAGGTGCCGTCAACCAGTTCAGTATTATCGCCTTTCGTAGCGGTTTTTCATTAAGTTGTTTCGAATTTGAAATTTTAAACTCGATTTCGGATGTACATTCGTAACAATAATCGTATTCGGAAGAGTTTGAATACGGAGTGACGTGTCCGATGCGTAGCGTCATTCGCAGCAGTTTGTGAGGCGGTCCGGTTATGAAATGCTAATTATGCTATACGGCATATTGTCGACCGGTGTACAATGCGTTTTGATACCACAGTATTGTAAACCATTAGACACGACACTGGCGCGATAATTGTGCATACTGTGGACAGTTTACGGAGCGCGGGCGAATTCGACCGAATAATAATGCCGGACAACGGCGGCCTCCGCGTCGCGGCCGTCGCGTCGTCGTATCATTGTAATTGCACGTTTAAAAGACGTTCATGAATGTTTCATTTACCGCCGTTGTTGTAGACAACGTCGCCGTTTTCGTCTTCCGGTTTCCAATTGGCAATTCCATTGTACATTGTAAATGCGCAACCGTAAACCGTCGTCTGTCGATTGTCCACATGCGATGCGGGTTAAACTTTTAATTCGCATAAACGTTACATTCGTAAATTACGCGGAATATCCGTTCATTATAATACCATTTGACGCGCACGAATCGCGACTTAAATAGCGGAAGGCGAAGCAGAAGAAATGCGACTCGGAAGACTCGGAGAGTTAAAATTAATACCGGCGAAATATCCGAAACGAGAAAAAAAAAAAAAAAAATTTGAATTCTTTTCGTCTACTTCGTATTGGTTGCTCATTCAACAACAAACAATTATTCTTGTCAAGGTAAGTGTACAAACCCATTCTAATAGTGTATTAATTTGAATCAAAAGCAAGAGAAATACGTAAACTGAAAGTATAATTTTCAAAGTTATAACCAATATAACTAAGTACCTATTGGCCAAGTTTCCACTTAGCTAGGCGATTAATATAATTATAATTGAACATGTATACAAAATTTGTAGTCATTACACCTACGAGTAATATAAAAAAAATAAAATTTGACCATCTTTGTTATTTCTGAAGGTATTACAATGTAGATGGGACATTAGTTATATATCTGAATGCAAGGTTTAACCATTGCTAACGATTTGAAGCAAAGTTTGGTAGGAGATATTTTGAAATGGCTTAATTATTAAGGTTTTCATCAAAATGTTCAAGCATTCTCTTAAGTTGTATGTATAAAAACATGAAAATATCAAATACCTACAAATAGCCTAAAAATAGTAAAATGTTTTGAAAATTGCACTGCTCTTATTTAAGGATAACATGATTATCTTGGGAAATCTAAAAGTCTCTTAAATAATTTTGAACCAAGATACAACAAAAACCGAAATTGCCTTACACTTTTCTGTGTTTTATACATTTTTTTTCCTGGTTTTTCATAATTAATTGGAAAACTATACGGAAAATCAAACAATGACTTTCTTACTCACAAATCGGACAAAATTTTCTTTCATAAAATATACTATTATAGAAATTTAAACAAAGATTTCTGGTAGAAAAATATAATTTAAACATTTTTTAATAATTAAGTCCTGCCATAATTGAAAAAAAAAAAAAACAACAAATTGTACGTGTTTTTTTGTTTCCTAATTGTTATGAAAACTATTTGAGATATTCACAAATGACTTCCTTATTCAGTGGTTAGATAATATAAGGATCAAAATCAAACTCATTTTTAAATAGTGGTTTACAATTACAAAAAAAAAAAATATACATCATAGTAAAACCAATATATCATTCATTACGCTCAGTCTAAAATTTGAATTGCTCACTATTGAAGACATTGTGTATGCGTTTTAAAAAATACTAGTTTTATACTTAACTTAAATATAAAAATACTAAATACACCAGACCAACTATGTGTGCAGTATTCCATTGTAAAAATATCTAAACAAAATTTAAATTAAAGGACAGTTAATAGTCTATTTTTGTAAGATTTAAAAAAAAATGAATAGTTTTTATATTATTTAACATTTTTACAATCACTTTATTATTATTTATAAGTTTAAATTTTAATAAGGTTTTACTTTATTATTTAATAATAGTTAATTTTATAAGTAGGTAGTAGTTACATATATTTTTTCAGAAATATATTTTATATTTTTGGCAGTTATAAACTATTAAAACCCCTTTACCTAAACAATAATATTTCAGTACATTTTTTTTTTTATTAAATCATAAATTATTTTACATAAAGAGTGATAATAATAATAGCCATACTTATAACTTGTTTTCTGTAGAATATTTGATTAAATTGTACCTTATGTTAAATTTTCAGATATGTCTCTTAAGTTATATAATTTTAATAGAAAAATATCTACCAAATATAAGTACATTTACAATTACATACTCAATTACATTGAGTGAGACAAGGGAGATTTTTACCTTGATTATTGTTAACTGTCCAACAAACTTAGTATTTCAATATTATAATGCAATGTAGCAAAACAAATAAAAGTTAGCAAAGTGAACAGAAATTTTCTGAAAACCCTACTCCATTCATATGTTTGTATCCCGTTGAAAAACTGATATAATGCCCTTGGTAAAAATATATTGTTTTATTGTGCTAATTCTGGTTAGGTTACTCAGAGTGACTCGGTATAAGTCAAGGATGAATTTGTCATTTGTCTTCAAAGAATGAATATTTTAGATTTTTGATATTTTGACTATTTAACGCGTCATAATATTTTTCTACAATTTATTTTGAAGATTGAGATTGTTATCACTTAATGTCTATAAATTGTGTTCATTTTTTATTAAAAAGTATCATAGATTATTTTCATTTATACTGTAAATAATTGATTTACCTTAGAGACTTGTGACACACAATGATATCCCATGAATATCATTTTTTGTAAGAAATGGTTTATCATTGCTTATATGTATGTATGTAATGACCTATAAACGTAGCTTCACTTGTCTCCATTATCCTAGGATGTCTTTTCAATACATAAATATATAATTTATGTACTAAATATGATAATACATAGAGTTTATTAAAATATATATATATGCATATGACATATCAGCTTAAATATATGGTAACAGAGTTAAGCATATAATAACAATAGATAAATATATAGATAGATAGATAATACGATTATTAAAATATATATAATAGATTAATAGATAGGTAAATTTATTTTTAACACAGTAAAAGATTTAAAAATAATAAGTTAAGAGTTATAATTGCACAACAAGTTCCTCAAGCCATTTCGCTGCGGCCGGGCCACACTCGTGCAGTTTTACCAGCCCATCTTCAAACTTTGTGAACGGGTACGTCTCCACGATGTGCGTGATATTCTGTATCTCACCACATTCACATAGTGGTGAGTCAACCATGCCACATTTATGCAGTAGGTAGATGCATCTTCCCTGCCCGGTTCTGATACGATTGAGTGTTGTCCACTGTGCCCTTTTAAAATCCCAGTCAGGGACTTTTATGGACGGTTCTTTAATCAGGTCTTGATTGCGAGTTTCTGTTTGACTCCATCTTCTTTTCCATAGGCACTCTGAAGTCTCATTGTTTATTTCTGTCTGCCATATGGGAGCATTGGACTTTAGGCGTAATAGTGGGTGCTCAAGCATGTCCTTTTTAAGTGGTAAATTAGGTAGTCTGTTAATTTTTTCTATCATTTTTTTTGTATGGGCTAGTCTCCGAAGATCTGAAGGGGCTATATTGGATAATATGGACAACCATTCTGTTTGAGTTGACCTGACGGTGCCTGAAATAATGCGCATAGTGTGGTTTAGTTGTGTGTCAACTTTTCTACAATGGGCGCTTCTAGCCCACACAGGTGCGCAATATTCGGCGACACTGTACACCAAGGCAAGCGCTGTAGTTCGTAGTACACTAGTGTGACATCCCCAGCTAGTACCCGCTAACTTAGCCATAATATTATTGCGTGTCTTCAGTTTATTTTTGTCGCCTCCTAAGTGTTGGTTGTACGTTAGGGTTCTATCGAACTTTACCCCTAGATACTTAGGGCATTCTTCAGAAGCGATGTTTTGTCCGTCTATTTCTATTTGTAGTTCTCTGTTTGCCTCCTTATTGTTGAGGTGATAGGCCATTGTTACAGACTTACTCGGGATTAGTGTTAAATTCCACTTTTGGAAATATTTTTGTATTTTTATTATATCATCATTCAATATATGTTCTAACGCTGCGAATGTCTTAGCTTGTGCTACTAGCGCCACATCATCCGCATATATAAATTTTCTAGAAACAGTATAGGTGATGTCAGTCGTATACGAATTAAAGAGGGTTGGAGACAGTACGGATCCTTGCGGAAGCCCATACTGGAGGAATTTGTACCCGCTTACCTTACCAATTTAAGTCTATTTATACATATTTAACCGAAATTAGTTCATTCTTTTTATCGCGTACAGAGAAATTAAATTACAACCCATAATCTTACCTTACCAACTAACACATCTTCGATGGTGCAACATACAGTGTTAANCACACAGGTGCGCAATATTCGGCGACACTGTACACCAAGGCAAGTGCTGTAGTTCGTAGTACACTGGTGTGACATCCCCAGCTAGACATACCCGCTAACTTAGCCATAATATTATTGCGTGTCTTCAGTTTAATTTTGACGCCTTTTAAGTGTTGGTTGTATATTAGGGTTCTATCGTACTTTACCCCTAGGTACTTAGGGCATTCTTCAGTGGCGATGTTTTGTCCGTCTATTTCTATGTGTAGTTCTCTGTTTGCCTCCCTATTGTTGAGGTGATAGGCTCTTGTCACAGACTTACTCGGGTTCAGTGTTAATTTCCACTTTTAGAAATATTTTTGTATTTTTATTAGATCATCATTCAAAGTATGATCTAACGCTGCGAATGTCTTAGCTTGTACTACTAGCGCCACATNAGTCTCATTGTTTATTTCTGTCTGCCATATGGGGGCTCTGGACTTTAGGCGTAATGGTGGGTGCTCAAGCATGTCCTTTTAAAGTAGTAAATTAGGTAGTCTGTTAATTTTTTCTATCATTTTTTAGCGCCACATCATCCGCATATATGAATTTTCTAGAAACAGTATCGGTGATGTCAGTCGTATACGCATTAAAGAGGGTAGGAGACAGTACGGATCCTTGCGGGAGCCCATTCTGGAGGAATTTTTACCCGCTTACCTTACCGTTAAGTGATACACGGATTTTCCTGTTTGATAGTAGATTTTCCAGTACTCTGATCGTCGTTCTACACTTTTTTATTTTAGTCAGTTTCAATAGTAACCCTTTCTTCCATACGGTGTCGTACGCTGATGAGAGGTCTAGGAAGACTGCGCCAGACTTCTCTTGACGTTGAAAGCCATTTTCTATATGCGTTGATAGTGTGAGGGTTTGATCACAACAATTTCTATTACACCTAAAACCAGCTTGTTCTATTGGTAGTGATGCTTCCACTAAAGATTGTAATCGTGATAGGATCANATAAGTCGTTGACAGCAGGGATATTGGTCGGTAGTTGTTAGGGTTGGTAGCTTCTTTATTTGATTTTAGGATAGCTATCACTTTCGTTTCTCGCCATATTTTTGGGAGAGTATTCGTATTTACTATTTTATTGACCAGTTTTGCAATCCAGCTGATGCTCCGGGGTCCAAGATTTTTAAGAAACTCTGACAAGATTTCGTCTGTTCCAGCTGCTTTTCCGTTTCTTAAATTTTTTAGAGCGTTATAGACCTCTTCATCAGAAAAGTCTGACATGAGTGCTGACTTTTCTTCGCACTTCCCTAGCTCCTCTACGAGTTTTCTTCTTACTTCTGATTTTTCAGTTTTTTGCAGTTTGATGAAGTAAGAATGAAATATCAATTGCTGCGACACATCCAGCTTTCTTAGAGGGATGCACAGCGCCAAGCTTTCGTAATAGAGACCAGCTTTTCCTGCTTGAGTGTGTGTAGTCCATTTCTTCCATTGCTGCTAACCATCTATTTCTTCTCTCTTCATCTAGTAGTGACATTAACCGATTTGCTGTTAACTCACTTCCAGATTGATCATATTCGTGTAATAGTGAGTCGCACTCTTTGTTCGAGCATGGTATGTAGTTCTGTCTATGTCCTCTAAGTNCGGTAGTTGTTAGGGTTGGTAGCTTCTTTATTTGGTTTTAGGATAGCTATCACTTTCTTTTCTCGCCATATTTTTGGGAGAGTATTCATATTTACTATTTATTGACCAGTTTTGCAATCCAGCTGATGCTCCAGGGTCCAAGATTTTTAAGAAACTCTGGTAGGATTTCGTCTGTTCCAGCTGCTTTTCCGTTTCTTATAATTTTTAGAGCGTTATAGACCTCTGCATCAGAAAATTGATTATTAATTTTGATATTGATTAATTATAAATCAATAATATATAATTTAATTTCATATGACAATCAATTATTATATTGGATAGACAATATCTTTGGTAAAAGAAATATAATAAATATTAAAAATATAATGTAAAGTACATTATATATTAGTTAGAAATTGGTTTTTACAGACTGAAAATATATATTCTATTATCAATTTGTGCATTCAAAATCTTTAATAGTAGATAAGTACTGAAACAATTTTGATGCTTCAAAGTGTAATGAAATTCAATTGAGGGGATCACGATTTTGTTGGTGCTTCTATAAAATAAATAAATTATATTAACAAATATACCTACCTAATACAAACCCATATTGGGGGGGAGCAGGAGAGTCCCTGAAGCGGGGCACAAAGACCATATTATCATGAGTTGAATTAAAAATTTGAGAATTTTATTTTGCTTATTTATATTAATATGGGCGACCGGATCCTTAAAGTTCTTAATCGAGGCTGACCTAATAGATTTCTCAAAAACAATTTTTTTTTTAAATTTTAATTCTGAATTTATACAATCTATACCAAAAAAAAAAAAAAAATAAAATACAATAAGCATAATGTATGTTTTTATTAATTTAGTGCAATAGCTTGAATGTCTTAAGGAAAGAAGCCGTCCAGTGAAGGTACTTCGACATGAATTTACAATTATTTAGATATTTAAGTATTCATTATTATGTTTACTTTATAAGGTCACGGGGCTATTGTCGTTGGAGTCTTCTGGGAGGATTTCCTGGGATGGAAATAGATAGTAGCTTTTTAATATGGGAATTAGGGTGATTTTGAAGGCGATTCCTAAATTTTGAGTAGTATAGTTTGGCTCAACAGAGCCAAGTAGTTTAAATACTTAGGGTCAGTCATAACTGAAAAGAATGAGATAGCCAAGGAAATATCAGCGAGGATACTTGCGGGTAATAGGGCGTACTATGGACTAGCAAAACTGCTAGGGTCGAGATCGCTATCGAGGGAGCTTAAGATACAGCTCTATATGACATTACTGCGTCCAGTTATAACTTACGGAGCGGAAACTTGGCCACTACAGAAAGAAGATGAAAGATAGCAGTAGAAATGAGTCGAGGATAAGAACGCATAATGAACTAGGACTACTTTTCCAGAAACCAAATATATTGGAGACAATAAGGAGTAGGAGACTAAAGTGGGCTGGACATGCGTGGCACAGTCAGAATCTCTTGTTACGTATAGTGTTAAAGAAGGATCCAGCTGGGAAGACCTCCTATGAGATGGGAAGATCTGGTTAAAAAAGATGTAAGTGCCTTAGGTGGAGGATCAGTTTGGAAAGAACGAGCATCTGACAGAGATGGCTGGAGGGAGGGATGTTTGACGGGATGGTCCTAGCGGCCATTTACCCGAAGAAGAAGAAGAAGAAGATAGTTTGGCTGTATCAGTAACTTTAGGAATGTGAAGATCTGTATGAAGTGTGAGGTTTGAAATCTACGGAGGAGCATTGGTTATGAGTCGGAGGATTTTTGATTGGAACACTTGTATTTTTTGTGCATTTGATATTTTTGCCATGGCCCACAGTTGGATACCGTAAAGCCAGATAGGCTTAAGAAGAAGATTATAGATGTCAATTTTGGTTTTAAGGGATAACTTTGAGAATTTACCGAGAATAGGTCTGAGAGACTAAAGTTGTTGGTTTAATTTTAATTTTGTTGTGTGAATGTGTTTGGCCCACATTAGATGTTTGTCAAAGGTTAGACCTAGATATTTGGCTGTCGGAGTTTGGTATTGGTTTGCTGTTTATATATACCGGAGAAGGTTGTCTGTGATGGAGAGCAAAGGTGGTGTGTACCGATTTGTTTTCATTAATTTTAACGCGTCAGAGGGAGTACCAGTGTGATAGGTCATTTAGATGGCTTTGGAGAGTAGATGAAACTATGTCCCTAAAAACAAATTTAGTAGTAAATATAGAGGATTAGTAAAATGTGTTGTACTTTTCAATGAACACTGTAAATTGTAATCAATTTATAAATTATAAAATCAATACTTTAAAAGTCACTTATGTTTAATGACACAAATAAAAAACATAACATAGACACTGTAAAATAATAATTTACCATAAATTAGCTGAATGGAAGCTGGATTCACTCGGATAAAATTGTCTGACCGTCAACTGGAATATGATAGTATGGAATAAAAGGTGGAACCGGCTAAATGACAGCTTCAGCAGTTCCAAGGCCGTTAATTGCTTTACAAATAGTCTCCATAATGACTGTATGTAGTAGTGGCAATGGATAGTATCCCTTTTGTAATTTCATTATGATTACATGTTCGAATATACTAAATGCAAATATTAAATGTTTAAACAATATTGTACAACAATAAATTATATCTGATTATTTAATTACATGATTACCTGTAATGGTTATTATAGTTATATAATTGTTTTCCATTTTTAAACCAAACCATACCTGGTGTAGGAAATGCATCAACATGACATTCAAGATTTTTATTTTGTCTTAATGTTTGTTCTACTTTAGGCCCAGGAACTGTTATGGATGGTGCACATTTTATTTGCCTAGTGACACTATATCAGATACAATGGACAACTCCATTATCAGCTATACAACTATATGTTCCTCGATCTTTCCTGTTTACTTGACTAATTTGTAGAATAGTTCCTCTGTAAAATTAAATTTATCATTTTGAATGAATGCATTATTTTATAATTGATTATACTAGTAAATTACTACTTACTGTTAGGTATGATTGTATCTTTTAATATTTATAAACATTTAAATTATTTCTTGTATGCACAACACAAAAATATTAATGTACCTATCGAACTATTATTTGATAAAAAAAAAAAAAAAAGTGAAAGCATAATAAAAATGGACACAGATGCGTTCTTCTTCACGTGATAAGAATCTAAAATTCCAAGAAACCAGTGTACCCAACGTTTGGAAAAAAAAATGTTTTTACTAACACTTCAAGTTAGCAAATTAACCAATAAATACCTACATCATAATGAACTAACTAAAACATAACTAATATATTATAAAGGTCGTGAAGTCTTCTTTCAGACATTGTACCCCGCTAAGGGTTACTTCGGCTGGAACATCCCTTAGGTAGGTACTTCAGATAAATGGTATTAACCAAAACTATCGAATTAAAATACCTACCTGCTAGCAGTATGTATACAAGTTGAATAAAATTAAACATTTAATACATAGTGATGGCTAAAACAATATATATAAATAATATAGAGAATCGTTATATTTGCATCATTATTAATAATGAGACACAAATATAATTGTATTTTCAAATTTAGCAATACATTTTCAGAATTTGATTAGGATCATCTTGTATGCATGTTAAACAAAAATTAACTTAAATAAAGAATTCAACAAACTCATCTAATCATAATTTAATACCTAATTAATGTTGTTGTAGTTTATTTAGTTACAGATATTTAAATGTACCTAATTGGAATAAATTTTATTACGTTCGGAATGTTTAAGTTTTTACATATTGTTATCTACTATATACATATATGCAGCCATGCCAGAGTAAGAATTTGTGAACGATTTATTCAATAAAGAGTTCATAGAACAAAGATTTTTTCCATATTCGAGACTATTTCATAGATTAGGGAATATTTATAATGTTAAACATATTTGTATTAAATTAAATTTTGGTGGGTAGATATAGAAATATTTTTCTGAACAATAGCAATAGAATTTTGAAAGTTAGATAGGCAATAAATAGACAAACTGAAAAATTACAATACAATTTCAGGAGTGGGTAGGCAACATAGGTAAAAATTTAAAATTAGCAATAGAATTTTAAGAATGGATTAAAAATTAATTTGTAGGAGTTGTGTAGGCAACTTATTAAATCAGTTGAAATACAATTACAGGAGTTGAATAGGCATTATAAATAGATATTATTAATAGACTGAACTACCCGATAGTCTGATAGTTTCGATAGTATAGGTGATTGATTGATTATGGATCATCAGATCAAAATCAGCATTTCTCTTTATTGACTCGCAGACATGCGAATTTTTTATTTTAGTAGTAAGCAATGAGCCTTTCGGATTCACAGCAATAATTTACCTAAGGCTGATCGAATCAGATCGAAATTATCTTTAAAAATTTATAAAATGTTGTAAACCCGACTGTACTCTCACTGGGTTTTTGGTTGTACATTTTCCAAATAGTTTTTATATCAAGTCTTTCATTTAGGTTTTTAATAACAATACCGATATAGTGGGTAGTTTCTGTTGGTTAACTTTAGTAGTCGCTGAAGTTTGAGTGAATTTAAGCTAGGAATAAACATGGAAAAACGTAGAAAAAATGGAAATAATCGGTACGATATTAAACTAATATTTTTTAAAACAATTTTTAATGCTTATTTAATTATTTTACCATAATATATATCGTTGACAAAGCATCACTATTAACTGAACTCCGCTCAGAATCGTTTTTATTAAGCAATAGTCGATCGTTGCTTACAGATACGAATTAATTTCCCATCTATATCCTACATTCCCAACATTCACCAACAACAGTGAATACACATCGTGTATAGTTTGTTCGTCTCATCTATAAGTTATAAAATTTAATTTTGACAAAATTGGTAAATACTACGGCCTTTCAAAACATCTATAACCAAACTTTGCTCTGAATCATTTCTTGTTAGAAAAAGTTTATCGTTAGTTACAAGTATAAATTAAATAACTTAATATATCCTGCCTTTTCAACTTTTCAACTTTTGGCCATATCTGTCTCTATTTAATTATTCATATTTTCACACATTAGGCATTTTTTTACTAATAATTAGATTTGCATTTGTTTAGTACTACTCTATTTGTAAAATGGCAATTCCACTTTTTCACCACTAGCCATTTTTCCGTATTTCTTCATGAATTTTAAATTTAAAATTATTCCCGACTGAAGTTAATATTTAATTTACTCCTGTGAGTGACCGCATACTGAACTGCGCAGATGTAAAAGAAGTTGCTTTGATTGTTTAATATGGCACTTATTGTATTTTGGGCCCGTTTATAATATAATATTATACATCTCTTATAACTCCGTCATCAGTTTCAAGAGGTCTGGCTGGAAAAGATTTTCTAATAGCACCTGATTTATATTTGGTTATCATTATTATAAGATATTACAACAAAGATTGTTGATTTTATCACGTGTTTTTTTTGTCCATAAACAACGTTTTTACCAGAAATCTTGCTTCAATCAAGAAATGCCAAAAGATTTTTTTTTGAAAACTGACAAATTTATGGCGTTATGATTTCATTTTTTGAAATTGTTATCTACCAGAAATATTGTACCTCGACAAGCTAGATTATCAATTAGATGAACTATCCGATGGTTTTCGATGTTCCTTATCAAATTTGATTAATCTGATTACTAATCAGATTGCTTTTCGATGCATCAGATCTTCAATCAACAAAATAGTCTGTTTGCTAGACGATAGAAATGTGTTCTCAAAATGATGTGGTGTTATCAACATTTAGTCATGATGTTTTTTTTTCGTTTTACATTTTAATATGTTCATTAATGTTGTAGTGTTCCAAGTGTTTGTTTATTAATAATTAAAATTAAATTAAATTGTTTTGTTATCAAATAATTGTCTATATCGCTTGATAGAGCATTCTGCGTTTTAATATAAATCGGTGATCCTTAACATTCAAAATGAATAATCGGGTATTTCATCTGATTGATAATCTAGCTTGTCGAAAAATACACGGAATGAAAAATCTACAAGAAACTTTTTTTGTTGCAATTCGAATCCCGTTAGCGAGTAAGAAAGTTGGTTCTTGATTATCAATGTGTAGTTCTCTTAATAGTTGACCAAAACCGGGATAAAACGTAAAAAAAAAAAATTAGAAAGTTTACGGAAACAATGGTTTAATTTTTGTCGATTTTGTTTTTCTGTTTAATTCAATTAAAAATATTTACAGACAGTATTTATTTCAGGGGGCAACTGAGAAGTGTTACCTCTCCCCTTCCAACAGAAAAATGTATACCAACCGGAACCAACTGAAAATTTGTGGCATTACTATACGTAAACTTTATGTGATATGATTTGTGAAATGCGTTATGGACCGATTATCTTGTTGGCGATAAAATAAAATAAATAATATATTGTATTAATTGTATTTTAACGAGCTACAAAAAAAAAGTTATCATTGAACATATTTTCTAAATTTGTTCTAAGTGTAAAAATGCATAGATTCGACTCTGTCTTTACATACACACTTGGAAATTTACTATTGTAAATTCCCTCCCCCCTCCCGGATGAAGGTCTGAATAAACACTGTTTGTAGAGACTTGACATTTTACCGAAACCTTATATTTTCTTTTTTTTTAAACGTGGCAACATTTTAAAAATAGTTTGACTATTTTTGAAGTATTCATACATAGTTTATATTTGCTAGTTTTTTTTTCCTGAAATTGAAACTAACGAATTCAATTTTTTTTTTTAAAGTATTTCGACATTTTAAAAAAGGCTTAAATTGTATTAGTTTCCCAATAGTTCTATTGCGGGTTTGAACCTACACATTATTACTACTAGCTGTTATACGAACAGATTTGCTCTTCTTCTGTTTTCTGAAATCGAATTCAGGGTTCTCCCTCATTCTACCAGACAAGGGCGCTCGTAGGGAGGCTAAAAGAGCCTTTGCTGCCCCCGGGATTTTCAACAATGTGTACTTTTATAACGCATAATGGCATACCATAATTTCAGTTTTTACCATAACAATATCAAATATTTCTAGAATAAAACGTTTTGACCCTGGTGGGATTTTGTCCTACGGGCGTGCTTGCTACCAGACATAGCGTTGCTTTTCGTGTGTCTTTCATAAAATGATTAATCGTCCTATCAACCACTTAATGCAAAACGCCAACGAGGATGCCCGTGTTATCTTTTAATCGTTTTAATTTTAGTTATTTTTAATTTGAATTATTACCGTGTATTTACTTTGTACCTGTACTTATTCGGTTTTTTTTTGTTTTGTTTTTTTTTTTATCACACGACCCGCGAGACTATCATTGTAAATACCGTTTGGCGTATTGTAGATATAGCAAAGACAATATTATGCTTTTCGTCAGATTTCACGCGTACGTATACTGTCTCTCTCAAAATTAAAACATTGTTTACGAACCCCGTAAACCTATACCTACCTATTATCGTATAGCCGTAATGTAGGCAATTTTATGTGTGTACCCGCGTACCTAACGATGCGCGTTTTATCGGATGTGGGTAAGTATTTATACGTACCGCAGATGTGGGTCATTACCGATAGCGTCTGCTGCGATATACCTAGAACCGCGTGTTTATAATAATAATATATATATTTTTTTAATAATAATAATAATAATAATAATAATAAAACACGCGGCTAATAATATAATGACGACGACGATGCACGATAGTCGGTCGCGCGTCAATCCCCCGTGGGGGACATGACTCGAAAAGTGCCCAGCTATACTGCACATAATCCGATCGTACGTCGTCTTATCTGATCCATAGAGTTCCTTAAACGCGCGGCCCCGCGCGTTCCCGGACCGGGCCGCTCGTATCCCCCCGGTCCAGAATTAATACAACGTTCCCCTCCACTATCCTTCGCCGAAACCTGTTGTGCCGAGCATCACGTACAAAATAATAATAATAAAAAAAAAAAAACGGTTTTGTTTTTTTTTTCTTCTTCTTCTTTTTATCACGACGAAGAGACGACCACACCGCAGCCGCCGCCGTCACCTGTACAAGGGCGGGACGACGGACACAATGGTGTTGGTCGCGGGCACGCCACCGCCGGGTCGCAGGTCAACGAGGTTCAACATTCCTGGCATTTCTCATCCCGCTGTCACTATAATATTATTATAATACCTTGGCTCGAGCTAAGCTAAATTATTAACGTCAATAATCGTCATCGTTATTATTGTTATTATTACTATTATTACCATAATTTATAGACGGATATGACTGATAAGCGACCAAAAGTCCTTCTGTTTCACTTTTTACCTGCGAAATAAAAAAAAAAAACCGTGACCATCTTACACTATGCGGAAAAATATCAAAGGCTACAGTTCAAGTTGTCGCATTATTTACATAAAAGTGCACGAAGCATTTTCGAAATAGATATTAAATTACAACAGTAACACCAAATGAAAACATAATATAATATACAGGGTGTCCCACGAAAATATACCTATTGCAAAATCTTTTGAGATAGTAAAAGATAATCAAATTCTGTGAAAACATAATATAATATACAGGGTGCCCCACGAAAATATACCTATTGGAAAATCTCTTGGGATAGTAAAAGATAGTCAAATTCTGTTTTTTTTTATATATATTCTCTCAGGGATAAGGACTACAAATATACATAGGTATATTTAAATTAAAATTTTGTGTTTTGGTAAAAAAACTAAAAATTGTTGAATTTTAAAAAATGATTGAAAATCACGAATACAATGAAAATAGAAAGTTGATACGTCATAATTTTCATAATAAACTGTAAAATGGTTATCTTCAATTTGTTCAAAAATAATAACATAAAATGTTACCAAAATATAAAGAAAATAATTGAAATATAAATGTTTGTAGTCCTTATCCTTACGAGTAATACAAAATAAAAAAAAAAACATACAGTCGGAGATATTACAATGGGTTATGCCCGTCGTGGGTCACTCTGCATAATATAATAAATATAAAAACGAAACAAGAATGATTTGGTTCACAAATTGTTTACATCTAAGTATCGTACATTTTGTGTAATAATATCAAGTTCGTTTAAATAATTATTGAAGTGTAATAGATATTTATTAATATTTATTTATTTGCACATTTAGGCAAGACTGCAACTACCATAAACTCGTTAAGTTTTAACATATTACGACTTCGTCAATGATTTTTTTTTTTATTAACTTTTAACTGCGACGCTATTTAAGTTATATTTGCTCAACATCCAACGAGTTAATTTATAGAATTGTATCACCGCGTAATTGGAAATTCTTTTAAAGTTTTACACAAATGTATACAGTATACACAATATTATATAGTTTGTGATATTCCAGCCGGAAATAAATCAAGAAAATCATAAACTCCAAGTTATACCATTTTTTGACTATAACAATAAAAACTTAACAAAATAATAATAATAATAATAAAAAAAATGTGTAATTTTCTCCTTCCAGAGCTTTTACAATTCTTGAAGGGCATTCCTCATTCGTCTCTATCCACGCCGGGATACCTTCAATATTGTAATTCCCCGAGTGCGTTAGTTTAGAGCGTCTTCAATACTCCGTGTTCACAATCATAGAACACATCATAGCAGAATGTCCAGCTTTACCGTAGTCTCGGTTCGTTCAAAATCTAAAAAAAAAAAAAAAAAAATAATAATTATAATTACAAGTGTTCGCGTTCTTTAATTAGCGGGATTTTTTTTTTTTTTGTCTTCTTAAATTTAATCGATTTCGTATTTTCGTGTACACACACCGCACAAGCAATTTAAACGCAACGGTTCGTCGACGCGGTGTCGAATTATAGCGCATATAAGAGCGATGTGAACGTATAATATACGAGAGCCAATTTTTCGTTTGCGTGGGGACTCGCCGCTATGATGAGCCGCACGCGAGCCGCCGCGGTCGGATTACATTCGGACGGAGCTATTTATAAAACCCGAAATATTGTACGTCGCCATAATACGCGTTCTGGTCGTATTATAATAATAATAATAATAATAATAATAATAATAATACGTGTGCATGTTATACCGTCTAAAAAAGATATAGGACAGATTTGAATGGAAGCGGTGCGTTTCACGCACGCGGTATTTCCAAAGCATTGCCAAATGTGAACCAAAGACATAGTAATAATACGCGTCAAAGACGCTGCATGCAGCAGAGCACAGTTGCCAGGCAAACGCGTCTTACGGTAGCCCCGGTACCTATGCCAGTGCTCGTGTCTGGGATCTTATCCGGGGCAGAGGGGGAGGGAGGCGATTCGTTTTTGTATGATTAGTTCAATTTTTCTCCCCGAAAGTTCCACGAAAATAGTGACTGTCGTCTAATATTGTATAACAGAGTGGACAGGATTTTATGATTTTATGTTATCTACGGAAATTTCATCTAAAGCAAAGCAGAATAAATAAAGTTTATAATAAACAATTTGTTAAAATTTTTAGACGCTCTTAGGAGGGGGGGAGGTTTTGGTGTAAACTTTTAAAATCGAAATAACCTCCACAAAAAAAATAAACAAAATAGATTTCTGCATTTTCATACTCATCAGTGGAATGTCTACCTTTTAATGAACGAGACTTTACGTACTTTTGTACGGTTAAAATTGTGATTCCATGCAGTTTATAAATAACGGCGCATCAACAATTTGCATAGATAGTGAAGTTCTTAATGGTGAATCAATTTCATTCTTAGCGCTAAAATTTCGTTCGCGTTCACTTGTTGAAATAGAAATCGTAGCTATTGCTTAGAAAAGGAATTTTTAGTTTTCTGAAGCACCCTCTTGTTCTAAAATCATTTTAAAAAAACCAAAAAGTTTTAATTATATCACATTCATTTAAATGAAATTGTTGACATACACATCTTGAGTACTTGAATCACCATATTATCTTATGTTTTCTATTTTACCATCATTTGATCTAGGTCAACATTTTGTATTTGAGTTCCCTATATCTTCGTTTTTTTTTTTTACGTTTTTACGTATTATTTTTAAAATAATTCGGAACGAAAAACTTTCAACGAAGTGGAACGCTAAAATTGATTTTTTTCTTGTGAATCGGAACGCAGTTCCGGTGCGTTCCGGTCCATTCCAAGCACGAAATCAAAGACGTTTAAGTATTCACCATGACTTTACTTGTAATTCTTAAAATATACTCGTATTTAAAAGTGCAAAATAAAAAAAATGAAAATATTTTTTCGAAAAAACGCAGAAAGAAGTCCAAATACAAGTTGGAGGAAGACGTTCATGTTCAATATTTACATCACAAATTTTAAAATACGTATTTAAAAACGATTCAATTTTTAACTTTTTTTTTTTTTTTGCAAAATCAAATGAAAAATTGGAGTTCAATACGGTCTGTAGAAAATCGTTTTTTTATAAATTTAAAAAAACCAAAAGCCGGGCAACTTCGCACGTGGGTACAGCCACTGTTGTAGGTGAGAAGTTGGGAAGGTGGTAGAGGAGGAATTTAATTTATACATACACCTGTAAGAAACGATAAACCATTGCTGACGAAAAAACGATTCTGAGCGGATTTCAGTGTTTCTTTGTCAACAATATATATATATATTACTATATTATTGTAAAATAATTATATAGCTATTATGTATTTTTTTTAATAATATTTGTTTAACGTCGTACCTATTTTTTCGTTTTTCTTACGGTTTTTCCCATTTACTGTAAAAACTCCTGGGGAATGTCAAAAAAAAAATATATATATATAAAATTAACATCATTGTTAAACCATAGCTCCATTCAGAATCTAAAACGGTAGATACGTATAATATGTTGCAGACAATGAGTTATTCTTGTTTCACCACGAAGTCATATTCGTCCGCAAAACGGTCGTACCCATTCACCTTGGACGGGGGCAGTAGCGAACAAAATATCTTGGAAAGAAGGCCAGCCGTTAAATAAAATGTAGTTAGAAATATAATTTTCAAATGTTAGAAAACGTGGAAAACAGGCCCCCCCGTACACTAAAACTCTCGTTACTGTTATAGATGTAAATTATACACGTTTATAATATTATTAATATTGTGTAGTCGTCGACCGTCTTCGAGAAGGGGTGCAATGTCTCCTCCGCGATCGGCGCGGTTTGAAGATCGAAAGATGAACAAAAAAAAAATAAAAAATTAGTCAAATATTAAACACGACAACAACGGTACCTACCTATATACATACAAAATATACGTATATATACACAATATTATACACACAAAGGTAAATACACCGATGAAAAACCTGTCCATACATACGCGCGCCGTATGCAGAGCTCGTAAATTATCGTTTTACCTTTTTTTTTTTTTCCACACATACACACACAGAATAATAGCTCGGCATATTAATGAAGTGGTGCGGCGGACGGGTTAGCAGATAATTCAATATGACAAGTCGGTAGGACTGGTAAATTTGTTTCGGACACACAGTCGTTAACCATCATGCGATATTTATCTCGAAACCGCCGCTCGTGCTGCAGTGTGCCAGAGAGCCCGACGACAACTATTAATCGCTCGTGTAATATAAAAATAATAATCATTTTTTCATAATATTATTACTGAGATTGGCTCGATCGAAGTATAGTTCCGAGTATTATATTATTATAGTTTGGCGCTACGTTAAACATTACATAAACATAACAAAAAAAAGAAAAAAGCCTCGATGCGGTGAAAATTAAAATGCGAAAAAATAAAAGCTAGAAAGATAAGAGAATTATTTACTTTATATTATATATACGCGACGTTAAATCGCTGCTCACAAAATACTATTTGAAGAAAGGTTCGATTAAGCATATTTTGTAATATTGCAAAAGTCTTGGTGAATATCTACGATTTTCGTCAATATTTGAACTTAAGACGCTTATAGAAAGAAAACTATACTACATTAAACTGAATATTTGTTTGACCACTAAGTACAATTTGTAATGAACCTCGAGTTAAATTCTCAAGTATTTCTGCTTGGCACAGTAAATTTTACACACAAATATAAAGAAAAAAAAAATATAAAATGCCAAACGCCTACAATTATGTAAGTCAAAAATCGCTAAAATCTTTCAAAAATTTAGAAAAGCCTAATGTTAGTATTCGGTGAAAATTATTTTTAGGTTCTATGA